GGCTGTTAAACAAAGAAACCCTGTCTCAGAAAACAAAACAACCAACCAAAAAACAAAACAAGACAGAAAACCACCCCAAACAGACAACAACAACAGAAGTGGATTTTTTACTTCAAATTAAGCAAAAATCCCTCCCAGGTATGCCCTTCATTTTGTGGATTTTAGTTAATTCTAGATGTAGTCAAGTTAACATACAGGAATAGCCACTGCAATTGTAAAAGTTAAAAATTGGTGTTTTGAAAAAAGCAATATAGTAAATAGTAGATATCAAAAGAGATTAATGAAGGAAAACTATGGCAGTGATACAGACAATATGAGGAGTGGGAAAAGATAGTTACATATGCAGAGATTAAGGTGGTCATAACGTGATCAATTGCCATGTCAATAAATATGAAAATTTAAGCAAACTGTAAAAAATATCCAGGAAAACCCATTTTCCAGAAATGGCTTAAAAATTAGAAAGCCTGAATAGTCCTATAACAAATCAATGGAACTATTATCTATAAATCTTCCAGGTGTCTCTACTAGAAAGTTTTAACTTGATATTTGAGAAAAAATCTTACTCTATACAGCCTGTTCCAAGCATAACCAAGGGTCATATAGAAAGGAAAATCATGACTGTCATTGTCACCTATGAATATGGTTGCAAACTAGCCTAAACAAAATAGTAGCCAACGCTACCTAGGAGACAGAAAAATCTGAGCAATTTGAATTAGGTCTTGCTTTCATGTTAGAACATTTATAATGCCAGTTAGCACATTATCATATTATAAGAAATCATACCATCATGTGAGTGGATGCAATTGTAGTACTAGTTAAAATTCGCCATTAAGTTATCATGGGAAAATATCAAAATAAGAATAGATGGTAATTTTCATAATCTATTAAAGGTTATCTACAGTAAACCTATGGAAAACACTGTTGAGTGAACCCATAGATATTTCTCTTTGAAGGAAACAGAATGATATGCCCATTATCACCATTTTAAAAATTATTTATTTGGTTTTAAGACAGGGTTTTGCTGTATAAGCTAGGTTGGCCTTGAACTTAAGATCCTACTGTGCTAGCCTTCCCAGTGCTGGAATCACAGGTGTGAGGCGGCACTGCCCAGCTCCCATTATCACCATTTAAATTCTGCCTTGGGGTTGGAGAGATAGCTCAGTGGTTAAGAGTACTGGCTGTTATGTCCGAGGACCTGGGACCAATCCCCAAAACTTAAATGGTGGCTCAAAACAGTCTATAACTCCAATCCCGGGGGATTGACACCCTCTTCTGGCTTCCATAGGCACTGCATTCATATATGTAGGAAAAACAGCAATGCACATAAAATAAAAATAAACATTAAAAATAAATTCAGCTTTATAGTATGTGTATTACGTAAGTATGCATGACTAGAAAAAAGCAGTACAGGTACTGAAAAGAGGAAACAAATCTGTTAATATTTTTGATATAATACATTTGGTTTCTTTTAATCTTAGTATTTACTAAGGAATATAACTAATACCTTCTCTTAAAAGATTCAGAATGAAGAGTGTACACAAACCCATGCTACTGTCTTGCTGCTTGAAGTTTAGTTGTGAGAAACTGCAATATGGCTGGCTGGCGCTTTCTCTCTCTCTCTCTCTCTCTCTCTCTCTCTCTCTCTCTCTCTCTCTCTCTCTCTCTCTCTCTCTCTCTCTCTCTTTCTCCTTTTGAATCTCCTCATAGACTGATTTTCATTCAAGGTACCAGATAGGTCATGAGGGCAAGAGTTAGGGAGACCATGGTACTGAGGAAGTCAGAGTCCCACAGATGTGCTGGCAGCTTCCTGTTCTCTCAGGGCCTCTGGAATCTCCTGGTGCACAGCTGTAGTGGATAGGTGGGGCTTTCTCTCTCTGTGTCTCTGTCTCTGTCTCTCCCTCTGTGTCTCTGTCTCTGTCTCTGTCTCTGTCTCTGTCTCTGTCTCTCTCTCTCTCTCTCTCTCTCTCTCTCTCTGTGTGTGTGTGTGTGTGTGTGTGTGTGTGTGTGTGTGTGTGTGTGTGTGTGTGTGACTGAGACAAGGATTCATTATCAGTATCCCAGGCCGGCTTCAGACTTGTGGCACACTTCTTGCTTCAGCCTCTGAGTGCTAGGATTATAGATGTGTACCCATGTTCATTTTAGGATTCCATTTTAAATGATCTTAGTGTTTTACAACTTAAAATTGTTTCTTTATATTTGGGGCCATTTTCCCAGTGAAACCAATCAATAAAATTGAATAATTATTTTTAGAAAATAGTAATTGGACCTGGATATGGCTTTCCGTTATTTCTCTAGCAGCTCTCAAGAGAGTGAGTGGGGCCAGTCCTAGGCCCTCCTTTACTTGTTGTCTGTCTCTCAGAAGTCACCCTCTTTGTTGCCTCATTTTCTTGTGTTTCGAAAACCTCTTCTTATACGCCTTTAATCCCAGCACTCGGAAGGCAGAGGCAGGCGGATCTTTGTGAGTTCGAGGCCAGCCTGGTCTACAGAGCAAGATCCAGGACAGGCACCAAAGCTACACACAGAAACTCTGTCTCGAAAAAAACCAACCAAACAAACAAACAAACAAGCAAACAAAAAACCAAAAAACCTCTTCTTATATGTTTTGTCTCAGTATCGTGGGAATTGTTGTTTCTTATATTTTTCTAGGTTTGATTTCTTCAGCTGGGTTGAGGACATGTGGTCTTCATTACTCCATCTTGTCTGGAAGTTGAGTCAGTTTATTTAAATGGTTTATCATTTCTTAGCAGTCCTTTTTTTTTTTGATAGTTGCCCTGTTTATTCTTGTGCAGTTGTTTGTCATTTTCTTTAGAAAGGTGCACAAATTTTGCTTGTCTGTCTGTTTGGTTTTAAAAGTAACTGGTAGTAATTTAAAGGTCTAGCCTGCGAGGACCTGTACATTAGGGGCCCTGAGATGGGTTATCCTTACTGCTGTGAACATTCTCTTCTGCTACATGCTATTACTGATGCCTGTTCAGCCTGTGGAGTTATGAGCCACTGATGTGTTTTACAAATTGTAATGAAAAGCAGATCCTAGGTTGACACACTTGGTTTTACTATATCCATGCACTAGCCAAGAACAAACATTTCTGTGACGTGATTCTGAGTTACATCTGTGGAAAGCACCAAGCTCCATCTTTATGCTTGTCTGATCCAGAAAGGCCAAATTAGTATGAAATTACAAGAATATCCATGCTCTTGATATATTACTATTATTTGTTTTTAAAAAATATAGTCCTTTTATTAATTCTATGAGACTTTCATTCAGTGTGTTTTGATCATATTTGTTCTCACTCTTCTCTGATCTATCACCCACATTCTCACTCCCCCAACTTCATGCACCCCCCTTTGATAACCCGCTGTGTTTAATTTGTGTTTCCCCAATACTTCTGGCTTTAGGGCCATCCACTGGAGCATGGTGGACCTACCAAGGGCCCCATAGTAATGGAAACTGACTCCCTGACCTCCAGAAGCCATCTACTGTCAGTTGGCCTTCCGAAGCTGCTTCTCCCTCCAGGCTGGGATGGTGACTGGCTTGGCAGCTCTTACGCAGGCAACCCCAGCTGCTGTGACTCCTGAGTGCAGCAGCCCTGTCAAGGATAGAAGACACCCTTTTGCTTCAGTTCTCCCCAACCCCTGGTTCTTACAGTCTTTTCTCCCCTCTCTTCCATGATGGTCCTTGGACCTTGTGGGGGCTACTTGCTTTTACAGCACAGAATATTGTCTAATTTAGCACAGTTACCACAGACTTCTGAATAAACTATGTACAGTTACATAGATACTATGCTTTCAGAAGACTTTGGAAAGAATGTGGTTTAACTTGCCAGTGTATGGTTCTAAACCTATTTCTGGTGTGTGATCATGGATTTTATTTATAATTCCATAGCTGCTGTTTATTTGCGTTGTTAAGTTAGAATTCAGATGTTCTTGGCTTCCTCAGATATTCTTTGTATCTTGTAAAATTAAAGAAAATGTTAGACTTCAATTTTCTTTCAAAAGATCCTTTAGAAGTGGTCAGATTATTTTGAAACATATTTAGTTATCCTTGATAGTACCAATCAGAGAGAGAAAAGGAAAGAGAAATCTTTGAAATAAGTAAAGTCAGTCCATTGTTTTCGGTTTCTTCTACTGCTGGGCACCCCATTTCTTCACAGGAAGTGGAGCTGCTGAATCCAAGCCCTCTTCCTTTTCTGTAGTCTATGCACTAAACTAATGAGTAGTAATGGCTGAAAGCTAGTGAGAAATAGGAAAACCCAGAGAAGATTCTTTCTGGCCCCGTTTATTTGAACCTGGTTTATTTAAAACCGAGTAATTAACATCAGAATAAGGACTTGACCACATTTTCCATGCTAAATCTAGTCTCTTGTTAAAAAAATATGTTTTCCTTACTGTTTTATCCTGTCTTAATCACTCCCAGTTATGTAAATACTTGAATTCTGGGTAAGATGAAAAGAGCATTGGAAATAACATGCGCTCTTTTTTTGATTGGAGTATATTCATTGTATGTTAATTTCTTTCTTTCAAGTGTATCATGTGCTTTGGCCATGCTCACCATCCTCTTCTCTCCTGTTAGTCCCCTCCTTCCCTTTTACCCTTCCTGGTGGGTCTGCTCTCTTCCTTTAGCTTCCCTTCCACTTCCATGACTTTTTGGATCTATGTACAATCGAGGATCCATAAAGGAGAAAACAAAATCACATGGTATTTGTCTTTCTGAGTCTGACTTATTTCACTTCACATGATGGTTTTCCAGCACATGACATAATTTCATTCTTCTTTATTACTGACTAGGACTACATTGTGTATATATGCCACAGTTTCTTTATCCATCTATCTGTTATAACATAATTTTGCTATTATGAATAGTATATACTTAGAAAAATTAAGCTTTAAAGGGATTTAATAAACTTAAACATGTTAAATGCCATCACTGTTATTAGTTGAGTACATCTTTTTGTCTTTTTAGGGAGAGGTGGTTCTTAACAGTATATTTTTCTTCTTTTCAGCTACTAACTCAGGATTGTTACCCCCACCACCGGCACTTCCTCCAAGACCTTGTCCGACACAGGTAGGTGACATATTTGATTTCTGCAAACTGTTGTCCTACCACTATGCTGCTTTGCAAGGATTAATCACCACAATGGAGTCGCCAGATAATTTCTGGATTAAGAAAATAGAGAGCAGCTAAGTTGTTGTAATTCTGGTAGCTTTCACAGCCTCACATGGAATTTCTTTAGTATGCTACCAGCCACACTTTTAGTTCCGGTTCTTGACGGTTGTATGTGATTTTTCTACACAAAGAGAAGTAGAAGGACTGTGTCTATAATTGGGGTCAGGCTACATGGTTGTTCTGTATAGTACTCGCCGCCTGGGTAATCAAATGTTCAACAGCAGTTTAGGAGCTGTGTTAATTCCACATATACTGAAGAGTGACCCTTAGCATGGGGTTAGTGCTGCGGTTTGGGCCTATAGTACTTTCTTAAGGATGCTCTTTCCACTCAGATTAATAAACTGAAGCAGCTGGAGAGGGAGAGTGTGTTTTACCTGTAAACTAATTGTCACCTTTGCCTGTGCTACTATGGCCTTCCCCATCAAGATTTGAAAATGTGAATGGGCAGCAAATCCATGGAGTCATGTACATAGTGCTGTAGATCACTCATTGCTACTACCAAGGAAACTTCTGCCTTTAAAGAGCCCTTCAAGGCCGGGCGGTGGTGGCGCACGCCTTTAATCCCAGCACTCGGGAGGCAGAGCCAGGCGGATCTCTGTGAGTTCGAGGCCAGCCTGGACTACCAAGTGAGTTCCAGGAAAGGCACAAAGCTACACAGAGAAACCCTGTCTCAAAAAAAAAAACCCCCCCAAAAAAATAAAGAGCCCTTCAAGCTGTTGGTGGAAAATATCGGGAATTTGCTCTACACAGAATGCAGTTTTTATTTTGCTGCTCTGTGTGGATCATAGCATACCTTTCTGTGTGCCGAGTCTCAGGAGCAGTCTTGGAAACAATTTGTAACATTTGCTTGTCCTTTCTTCAGCCGCTCTTTAGCAGCCGCTCAATCAGGAGATGTAAATACCATGAGGTATTGGCTTCTTGCTTCAGTCTGAAGGGTTATAGAGAAGTACAGTTCTTCCTGATCTGCATATAAACAAGTGGGAACTCTTAAAGCTTTAAGAGAAATTGATTTGTTAAGAAGTGGTAATTGAGTCCCTGCTGTTTGTCTAACATCAAACCTTAGTTCTGCCCCAAGTGCTTTTTTTGTTACACTTGTGCTCATTCAGAATTATTAGTTGTGTTAATTGGTTATCAGCATCAGACCAGACACTGCACTAATCACTTTTAATGTATAATTTTATCTTCCCCCAAAGCCTTATGAAATAGGTACTAATATTCTTCTTTTTTATTGGCAAGGAAATTGGAGCATTCCAGGTTTAAGCAAGTTACCAAGGGGCCATTGCTAATAAATAGCAGAGCCCCTCCCAAACTGAAGTCTTTACTCCCATTCTCTCAATACTGGGAGTCTATGTATATCTACATCAAGACAGACAGTAGATCTATTGTGCTCGACTGTAACTGAGACTTTCTGCACACCCTCCTGTGGAAGGCCTGGAGAAGTTGAGACTCCCACTTTGCACCAACAGCAGACCTGGACTCGGTCACAATAACATTAGCAGGCATTCTGGGATGCTTATCTGGAAAGCACTGCTACTACCAGCTGTCCTTATCTGAGCTGGTTGCCTGGAGCATCTTGCCTGTTTGGGACTTAATGATGGAGGATTTGACAGGGAGACTGGGGATTCTCAAGTCAGCATTAATGAATAAGTCTACTTCCTTGTCTACCAGATTTCCCAGCATTCAGCCCCAGCTTCCAGATTTCAGACTACAGAAGCAGGTGTGTAAGGAATGTAGACAGAAAATCCCCAGGCTACTTCCCTCCTCTTGCTCTCCTTTGCTCACTGTAGTGGGAGATATCTATTTAACATATAATAAACATGTGGTTGTGTTTAGTTTTGTGCCATGCCAAACTAGGAACAGCTAAATAGCCACCTGCATGTGACATCAGAGTGTTTCCAAAACTACTTGGGATGAAACAATCTGGTATGTATTAATAGGGCTCTGTGGTAAGTGAATTTGCAAGCCACTTTGCCTAACCCCCACTAGGAGATTGACAGTGCACACAGACCCACTAAAGGCTTTGAAGTCCTGTGGCAAAACATAAAACAAGGGTCAGTTTTGTTGAAGCTGACAGTTTCCTAGCTTGTCCAACCATCTTTTTATTTCTAAAACACTTATTACTGTTCCAAGGGCTTAGTGGTTAGGAAATACTAGAACACCCACCTTAAAGTCCTGCTTTGAATGTTACCAAATTGCTCTCATCTGCTCCCTCATTTCTGCGTTATGTGATTAAAGTTACATTCGACATGTTACAGTAATAGCCTCTCTTGAAGAGTTGAAAGTAAAAGCTGATTGCATAGGCAGTGGCTTGGATCTCAGATTGTCCAGGTTTTCAGTTTGTTTCATTTCCTGCTTCACTCCTTTGCTCCTTCTTGTTCACTGTCTCATGAGATCATTTTTATCGCCTCACGGCAGACTTTATTATAGAGAACTTAAACATTTCTGAATTCTTCTTTTGCTCTGTTAAATGGTTTTGAATTTTTCTTTGCTGTATATGGACCATCAACCTGACCTTGGAAATATACCTGTAACTATGGAAATATATCCATAGAGACTTTTATGAGGTTTAGATTTCAGTAGCACCACTGGGCACCTAGAAGAGAAACCAATGAAGTACAATTAAAATGATTCTATTTGTTAGTAGCGATAAAAGAGACTTAAAAATTTTCTAGGTTTTTTTGGATTTAAAAATTTCATGTTATGTAATATAAATGAGTAAGACAGATTGTAGTAAATAAGATAATGTTTATTTTCTACAAAGGACTACTATCTTTAAAAGCATGTAACCAGTCAATAGTGACATGCTTCCATGTTCTCACTATGTTCTACAAACAACAGAAGTATGTCTAGGGCTGAGGATGTAGCTCAGTCGTGGAGCACTTGGTCAGCATGTATAAAGATCTTAGAGTCTATTCTCAGCACTTCAAAACAAAAATCAAATCAAAATAAAGCAAAAAACTGAATGTACTTTTGTCATTTGAGAGAGATGAGGCACAGTTTTCAGCATAAAGTACAATTTATCTAGCTCTTCTTACATCAAGTACCACGGTGATATGAGCATCTGGATTAGGTTATGCATATGGGGCTCCACAGTTAGGAAAGGGAGTAAATTCAGAGAAGCACATCTTCTCTTTTCCCCAGTATAGGTAAGATTTGGGAGTACTAAGTGAAGAAAGAATCAGGTGCTTTGGTTCCTCATTTGTCAGAAACCAGAGTATGACTCAGTCCAGAGGAGGTGATTTTTTTCTATTTAAATGACTTATTCATAGCATAGGCAACCAAAAGGCAATTAGAGTAAATCATTTCATATAGATCAGTGTTAAGTAAGAGTGAAATTTGTAAGTTCACATATAAACTAAGGAAAACTCCATCCACAGAGTTTGCATTTGCCCTATAGGTCAGTACTTTGCTAAGGGATTATCATTTTTTTTTTAACCTTAGGGATTGTCTGATACTTGAATAGCTAAGTCCCTTTAATAGTATTGATTTTTATGCCAAATTTATTATGGAAATTGTGATAGATTCATGGCTTTTACATGACTGTGTTTAATAAAGAAAAAGTTGGTATGTGTGTCAAAATATTATCTTTCAAGTTTTCTATCAGTATTATAGTTGATGAATTGGGGCTTCCTCTATGAATGTGCCCAGGATCTTCCTATTTATAATCCTCATTCGCTGCTTCTCACAGCAAGTGCTCCCCATGGCAGGGTTTTGATTACTAAAATAGCACTGGAAGCGAAGGTAGGAGGGAAGAACCTCCATCTTAATACCTTTCACCTCCAGACTGAGAAGACTCATTCTGTGAGCCGGGTGACTAGTGAAGAGACCTTTTTTTTTTTTTTTGGGTTTTCGAGAAGCTTTTAAAAATATCCTTATTTTATTTTCTCTCTCCTCCCTTCCTTTCCTTATGTATTGTATTCCATCATCCCCACCCAGTTAAGGCCCCTCCCTCCCTTACCTTTTTTTCTCATTTTTCCCTTCTGTAGAGCTTCTCCCACAGGGTTTCTCTGTGTAGCTTTGCACCTTTACTGGATCTCATTCTGTAGACCAGGCTGACCTCGAACTCACAGAGATCCGCCTGGCTCTGCCTCCCAAGTGCTGGGATTAAAGGCATGCGCCACCACCGCCCGGCTAGTGAAGAGACTTTTAAAGAAACAAAATAACCTTTCTTTTTAAGATGGCTGAAGGATACAGAGTTTTACTGTAGAGGAAAAGCCTGATGCAAAGAAACAGCTGTGCAGGAGGTCCTGGGACACTCAAGGAACCATTATTCAGGAAGTTAGACATCAGGGAAGAGAGTTCGAGTGAGTATTATGGAGGGGGCAGTGAGGAGCAGTCCCAGTGCTTATAGAGCTGTGTGAAATTAGTAGTCCCCAAGAAGAGAGTTCTCTCTGGACACAGTAGGGGAGAACCTACTATTGTAATTTTGTTAAGTGAACCCATCTGTAGATGTAACGTGTGTGTGTGTATGCATGTATGTTATTGTAACTTGTGTATCACAGTGAAAATCAAGTTTAAATCTTTATTATTATGTGTATCTATATATGGGTTTGTGCATATGAGTGCAGGTGCCAACAGAGGTAAGAACAGGGTGTGGGATCCTCTAGAGCTGGAGTTACAGAAGGTTGTGAATTGCAGTGTGTGTGCTGGGGCCTGACCCTGGGTCCTTTGCAAGAATAGTATACATACTCTTAACCACTGAGCCATCTCTCCAACCCACCCATAAAAATCCAGTTTTTAAAAACCAGTTAGCTCAATCCAAACCTGCTATTTCAGAATGAGTAGCTTCTTTGAAGGTACAGTAACAATTAAGTATGATTAAGATTTGAATGCAGATGTTTGATTGGTTAGAAAGCTAAGTAAACTTTCAGCCTGTTTAGCTACAATTACCAAAGACA